TTTTTCTAGTCTAGATTATACAACTACTAATGGACTACCATAGAGTATTTTAATTAGTACTCAATATAATATTAATTTCCAACCATATAGTATTTTGATTAGTACTCAATATAAAATTAGTTACTATCATATTTGCTTTGTTACCATACCAAATAATTACTCCACCGACCCACGATAACTACAATAGGCACGCCCACAGAATAGTAAACGCCTCCACACGTCACTGCACACGCAATATTTCCCCTTTTTTTTTTCTTTTTTCTTTTTATTATTATAAATAATATAATTGCCGCGTAGGATTCCTTCCCGAATTAGGCTTAGGAACTATACACAAAATTCCTATATAAACAAACCACAAGAAAATCTGGTCATTTTTTTCCAAACTAGAAAATCTCTCTCTCTCTCTCTCTCTATCGAATACCCTTTTCGATTTCTGCTTACTCACAGTGTTCTTCGATTCGTATAGTCGGGAAGTTGCTTTAGAAGATCATAATCAAGCAAGTATGGTGGCAGAAGCTGAGGTTGTATGTCGACCGGCCGTCGCCGTTCAGTACATCTGCGTTCCGTCTCCGCCGTCGCCGAAGGCGGAGTCGAAGTTCATTGACGTCTCTCCGGCGGCGCCTACCGCCTCTCCAATCGCGATCGACCTTTCACGCGTCGATTCGGTTAGTAATCTTTTAGTTTTCTTAATCTTGACCTAATTCGATTTTCGTGTTTCTCGGGATGATTAGTTGTTTATTTGGGATGGCTTCTGGGATATGGGTTTTTCCATTTGTTACTTTTTTCGTAGGTCGGTTCGTNCCTAATTCGGCGAGATTAGGGTTTGTTTTCCTTGTTGCCACTCTGATACATCTTCCTTGTAGCTACTTTGTTATGGGTTTCTAACTTTCATTGGTTTTATTGTGTTGTCGCGTTTGTTTACAATTTAGGGCTCTTCCCCTTATGCAGTGTTATTGATAAGGACTTACTTTGCTAAGTAATCAGAATTTCATGTTTGGATCCCATTTTCTGCTTGAAGAAGACAGAATATGGGTTCTCTTGATTGTGCAGCTAAGCCTTAATGATTGAGAAACTGTCTATTTAGCTTTAATTATAAACAAACTATCAATTTAGTTTAGAAACTTATTAATTGAACCAATAGTCCCATATGTTCCATACTGATCAACAAAACAAAATAGGCTGCTGCGTATTTCTGGATAAACTTCATGCCTTCAACCAAATGTTTGCTTTTGTACAATCTACTACAACCCAATTTAACTTCTCCTTGCATTTTCTTTTCAACAATTACGTCCATTCATCCTAACAAGACCCTTTTCTCCATTCATCAGGCTCTGACCTGCTCGACCAGCACACAGGCCTCAAGGTCATTTGACACTCCAGCCCGAAACTCTGCCCCTAAAATCCGATCAGGCAGCCACACGGACATCGGGCCCCGCAGCTCGAACGAGGACCAGCACATCTGTATCGACAACCTGCCAGCTCACCTGGGCCCATCCCTCCACTGCTGGCCCGAGCCCGCTTCCTTCTACGCAGTGTTTGACGGCCACGGCGGGCCTGCAGCGGCCCTCTACATGAAAAACAACGCCACCCGATTATTCTTTGAGGAGGCCCAGTTACCCCAGGCCCAATCCACTGAAGATACTGACAACAAAGGGCAATTCTTGCAAGATCTCGAGACCTCCCACCGCCACTCATTCCTGGCCGCTGATCGGGCCCTGGCAGACGAGACGAGCCCGGTGGACCCGTACTGCGGGACCACTGCCCTCACTGCCCTTGTCCTCGGGCATAACCTTTTCATAGCCAATGTTGGCGACTGTCGAGCCGTTTTATGCCGGAATGGAAATGCTGTCCAGCTGTCACGTGACCACAGGCCTTCTTGTAGAATCGAGCGAAAACGGGTTGAAGATTTAGGTGGGAAATTTGAATATGGGTACTTGAATGGTGACCTGGCTGTGACGAGGGCTCTTGGGGACTGGTACATGAAGCTCCCGTTTGGGTCGGCTTCACCCTTAACAGCCGAGCCTGAGTTTGGGTTGACATTGTTGACTGAGGATGATGAATTTATGATTATTGGGTGTGACGGGATTTGGGATGTGATGTCGAATCAAGAAGCTGTCCGTGTGGTGAGGGACGAGTTTGCTCGTTGCCAGGACCCAAACGAGTGCGCGCGGGAGCTCGTGAACCAGGCTTTGATGCGGGACTCGTGCGATAATGTGACAGCTGTCGTCGTTTGTTTCTTGTCTGCAAACTCGTTGTCTCGTGTTTCGACTTGTTCGCGGAGGTCGAGGTTTAGGTTCTGCATGTCTGAGGAGGCGCGTAGCAAGTTGAGGAGCTTATTGGAATGTGACAGCAATTGAATGGAAAGTTTGACTTTGGGAAAATTAATGATATGTTTTTTCTAGTTCATGAGGTTGGATTGGAAACTGATTGAGATGAAACTGGTTGTGGTATTCTTTGTGTAGATATTATTTTCAGTGGTTGATTTTTTGGCCATCTGTATTATTGAGGTTGCTTCAGATTCTGTAAGCTGATGAGCAAAGGCAGCCAGCAATTTTGTTGTGTGATGATGGATTTAAATTTTATGGCAGTAGTAGGTGATTGATTGTATGATGCCAACCATAAAATTTGGATTGATCAATTTTGATTAGTTTTCCTGAGTTTGTTCTGTTTGTAATGTGTTGCTTCTTGTGTTTGTTGGGCAAACAGATTTCTTTGGTGCAAAAAAGTTGGATCCTTGTATTTTATCCTTGTGTTGATCTAACAATTGTGTACAAGTAGGATGGAATTTATCACAAAAATCAAAACTTTGTACAAGTAGTATGAAATTTATCACAAAAATCTTTCCACTTCTGTACTTTTTAGAGTAAATATATTGTTGTTTTCAAACTTGTTCAGATGAACAAGAGAAATATGTTGAACCTTTGGATATGTTGATAAAATTTTAGAGATGGTGGAGGCTGGCTAGTCATCCACTGGAGAGCTGAAGCTGTTTTGGACCATACATGCAATATAAGGTGGCTGATACCACCACGTTTTGGTCTTTGCATATAGATATTATGTGTGGTTATAGTTAGATTGTTGATATTCTTGAACAATTGGGATATTTGTAAGTTACTTTATTCTAGTTGTGAATTTGTGGAAGGAATTGGTTCCGGCCGATATTTATAATATTTTTGAAATTTTCGTTTACTATATTTGTGTGGTAATGTAGGATGGGATTAAATTAGTCGTGTTCCAATTGATTAGTTGAGATAGTAAATTGAAATTTAATCAGTTATTAGTATCTCAATTGAGAAATTAAGACTTCGTACACATACTTTAGGAATAAATACAAGTATGGAGTGTAAGAAAATATATATGTATTTTCTGAAGAATACCGACGTTCCAATCAGATTGGATTTATTTCTACTTGTAAAAATAATTTATTGGAATTATATTATTAAGGCATTGTTTTATCTTATGTTTTTGCATTTATCCTATATTTGTACATATGATAAAGTCCTTAGATCATTAATCGCTATAAAGCATGGTTGCGCATTTGATGGTAATCATGGAATATATCTTTAAAGCTGTGATCTTAAATACAGTTCCAAGTCGTTGGATATTTCGAGATGGGATATCGAATAATCCGGAAAGACTTGTACATATGATGTATACTTGTTTGACAAGAATGTTGCATTCCATCAACATTAGCGTGGATCGCAAATACATATATGTGGGTGCTTGTTAGAGAATAAGTTCACTGAACATGACCGTATGAAAATTCTGAATGAAAGTTTATTATGTCGAATAAGAATTTTCATGTTACAATAGTACATGATTGATCCTTAGACTTGAGGCACGATATGTGGGTGCTTGTTAGAGAATAAGTTCACTGAACATGACCGTATGAAAATTCTGAATGAAAGTTTATTATGTCGAATAAGAATTTTCATGTTACAATAGTACATGATTGATCCTTAGACTTGAGGCACGATAGTAACTTTGTGCATATTATATTTTACTTTGATTTATCCTTTTGATTGCTAGCACAGTCGTATAAAGGGATATTTTGGGTATTATATTAATATGAATGGAAATTTGTCAGTGGCCAACAAAGGATTCAACATTTATGAGATAAGTGAATTTCCTATGTGTTTCATAGTTTGTAATTCAAAGTCCTTGGCCAAGGCGGGATGAATAGAGATTCATATATGAATTATTAAACTTGAAATGGAATCATAGTTATTAAATCAATTTGGGTTTCGACTAAATCATACCCAAGATTTAATCAGGAAATTGGATGTCGAAAGGATTTTACATGTATGGACTTGTAATCGAAAAGGTTTACTCGCTATTCACTTAATACTAGATTCATGCTACTTGCTAGATGTTCCCATGATATGTGGGTTCTTGAATTAAGGAGTTAATTCAAAGAATAAGAATTAATTTGATTAATTCAAATTACAAGGAGTTGTAAACCCACTACTAGTATTAATAGTGAACATAAAAAGGTCACACCCAATTTTGAATGTAGATCATTTGTAATTAGTATTTTTAAAGAGTTAGAATTAATTGACAAGTATTAATTAAATAATTTGATTATTTAATTAATTCTAATTTTGATTAGATATCAATTAAAGGAATATACTAAATTAATCAATTTGATTGATTAATTATATTTTGGATATTAATTAAGTAATTAATGGAATTACTAAATTAATAGTTGGATTTTAAAATTGTATTTTAAAATTCAAATCCATATTATAATATGGTTATAATAAGAGGAGATTTTATAAATATGTGAAATAATATATTTTGATTAATTTTTATCAAAGATTAAAATAATAAATAAAATATTATTAGATGGGATCTATTGACATTTTTTTATTAAAATCGTTTTAGATCTAGATGCCATCTAATTTGAATAAAATAATGATTTTAAAAATACAATATGACATCTTGTGATCTAAATGTTTTAGTATAAATAGGTGTACATATGTGATGTACAAATGATACACTTGTATTAACAAGAAAATTGAGAGAGAAAAATCACAAGAGTTGTAAATCAAGAAGTGTTCTTGAACTTAGAGAATTATTTCCATATCAAGAATAGTTCTTGAAAATTTTAATAAAGATTAAAATTATAATCTCCTCTAAAATAAATATTTCGATACTAATTGAACAAATCAAGAAGTTTCTACTAGAGAAGAAACTAGTTCTCGAGATTGAATTACAAAAGGGTGGATACTTTTTGAGGGGAGACACTTGGATCCCTCGGGTGAGTAACAAGAGACGGTGAAAGTCACATACAACCGGGAATTGATTTCCTCAATCATCGTCGTATAAAGAAGGAGTTCAAGATAAGAGGTAATTTTCGAAATTACTTATTACAAAACAAAATTCGTATTTATACGTGATTTTAAAAGATGCAGATCGTAACAATCGCTATTTGAACCGAGGGGTTTAGTATTATTAGATAAATGCTTATTTATTTTGTTTTATTTCCGCTGCGTTTTACCCCGTACGGTATAGCGAACCCAATTTCTTTATTAAAGCTATGATGTATTTAATCGATAGCAACGTTGTTAAAATCGAATCTCATCGGTTGGTCGGATTGGAAATCGGTTTCCTGATTGGTCCGATCATATTTAAAACCGATTGCCAAAAATTTAGTGATCTTGTTTTCCAGAGTTGAGTTGACATCCGAGCATGTATATATGTCAATATGAAGCATGATTTCCTACTAAATAAGCATATGAAGCGTGTGACTACCATTTCGGTCCAACACGATCTTGAATTATATATAAAGAGAGTTTGTGTATCATATATAAAAAATAAATAATAAATATTAAACTTATTAAATTTTAAAATATATTTATAATTGAAATCAACAAAGTGTTTTACAATTTGAAGGTTAGACTATTTTGATCATTGCAAAGTTGACATATAAAATTACAGCGCATTATAATTGATACGTAAAATTATAATATATAATACGTCAGAAACTTAAATCTGTAAAATTGCATATACATAGAGTGAGAAATAGTCAAATTTAAGGAAAAACTACATTTAACCCACCTAATTAGAGTTTTTTGCACTTAACCCACTCAACTCTTTTTTCGTGATACTTTGCCATATAACATTCTGAAAAATTACACTTAACCAATTTTCGATCCTTGGCAAGGAAATTTTGAATCATGGGTGCAGGACCCTTTAATCAAACCCGTGAAGAGCGGTCACCAAGCGTTCGAACCAAGGATATTTTAAGTAGCGTATTTTTTCTTTCCCTCCAGACATTTTTTCCAGGCTTATCGTCGGGCCACTTCTTAGGGCAAAGTGTCAATAAAAAAACTTGAGTAGGTAAAGTGCACAAAAATGTATAGGTGAGTAGGTAAAGTATAATTTTTTCAATTACAATTAATTGAATGAATGATTGAAAAGTCAATTTTGTCCTTAGAAATTCCCGACAATGACCGAAAATCGGTTAAATGCATTTTTTTACAAAGTTATATGGGCAAAGTGTCATGAAAAAAAGTTGAATGAGTGAAGTCATAAATGTAGTTTTTCCTAGATATAATTAGCCAATCCAGTTGAAAAATTGGTATAGTTCCTTAGAATTAATTAGCTAGCGTTTCAATGTTCAATTGCAAATTTATTGCACGTAAAATATGACTTTTTAGAAAAAAAAAAAAATGCATGTAAATATATCACTTTTTTAATTGCAAATTAAGAGATTAGGCCTAAAATTAGACTAAGGCTTGTTTAGCAGTCACTTGTTAGATTTAGCGGTTAGCAGATTGCATTAGCTGCTTTGACCAGCGGATTGAATTAGCTGTTTTAACCAACAGATTATATTAGCGGTTTGTAAAATAATGTTTGATAAGATAATCTGTTAGTAAATTGTATGAATATTTAAATATTTGTTTTATTTTTTTTACAATTATGAAAATTATTAAAAAAAATCAAATATTTTATGTTATGTGAATTTGAAAAAGTTGATTTAATAAAGTTCAATTTATGAAAATAGATAAATATTTTCTTACAAAAAATAATTAACTTTATTTATTTATTTATTTATTTAAATTCTAAACAGTGTATATAAAAAAAATTGCAAGAACTATAAATCCACACTCATATTTTAAAAAATTGAATGCTTGTTGTTGACATCCGAGTTCGCCTCGAAAGGGAACCAGACAAAAGGCAACCTCAAAAGTCGAACCGGAGGCTCGGTCAAGCGTGGAAGTGCCGAGCTGAATCCCGGATTAAATCGACCATCACGTCTCCGTGGGTCCATTCTCGAGTCCGGCATTTACGCCGTTCAAGTGCCGGTGCCGACCTCGAATAGGTGGCGGGCTGAAATAAGAATCCAAAAGGCCAGAAGAGTAGAATGAGCTCGGGAGCCGACCTGAATCTTCAGAGCGGTTGTCCCGGAGACAGACGCGGGGTCCGATAATAATATAATAACGCCACTTGGAGAGTAATCATTGGCGATTAGACAGGGCGTCGTAGCCTGCAGGTCCACATCCACTAGCCAAGACATAAAGTCTGCCAGCATTAAATAACCCCCATGTGTGCATTAAATGCCTGACAGACAATGATTAGGAAAACCTTAAATCGCATTTAATTTGTCAGGGAGACGCCGGACTGCTCTGACAGAACACTGTACGACAAGACCGGTGAACAGTACCTAAGCAGTGCCACATTAAAGAGCACTATAAATAGCATCCCCCTCATTTATTTCTAGATTGTTGAATCTCCAACTTTCAGACTCTTTCTTGACTTTCTCTCTCTAAACTTG